CTCCGCAGGGAAGGCAGGCACACTGGGTTTTCTGTTTGCCTCTGGAAGCAACATGGGCTGAGGAAAGGGAAAACCTTGAGACATTAGAAAGTATAGTGATTCTCAATACACTCGATGACTTTACTTTGACCTTTTTTCTTTTTTTGCTATAGATGGGGGTTGTAAATAAAGCAGTCATTCTCTGATTTTTTTTGTGTGTATCAGAAATTACCTGGAAGGCTGATGAAAACAAATTGCTGGTCTCACCTGTAGAATGTTTGACTTAGCAGGCCTGAGGTGGGGGCCCAAGAACAGGCTTCCCTGGTAAGTTCCCAGGTGCCCAGAAATCAGCATGAAGTCTCTTCCATCCCTGAAAATTATGGTGGCAGAGATGGGATCTGGAATCATAGAAAGACTCTTACGCTTGGAATTCTGGCTCAGGTCTGTTGACTGATGGGGCCAGAGTTCTTCCAGGGACAGACAGAAATGGAGAGAACAGTCACACAGAAGCGGAAAGGGGAATAATGACACTTCCTCAAATAGAAATTTTTACCCTTACAAACACCAGTGTGAGGGATAGACAGCTACCCCCTCCCTTCTACAGGTAAGGAAAACGAAACTCGGAGATGTAGTCCCTTGCCTAGAATCCTGCTGCGTGGTCATCCTGCTGTGGGACCTGCTCTGCTGCCTGGGAAGTGCCCCGGGGCCAGCTGCCTCTCAGTGTGAACTCTGCCTCCACCCCTTACCCGCTGGTCATTCTCTGCAAGCTGTTCAACCTCTCTGGCTACCTACAAAATGGAGAGCCTAGGAACCCCTCCTTCTTGGAGTTGTCAGGATGGACTGAATTGATATTTTAAAGTACTTAGGCCCGTACCTGGCACATGGTAACCTCAATATAAATTAGCCGGAAATAAAGCTCGCTGCCCATCAGACTGCAGCAAACCCAGTCCTTCCAGAGACAAACTCAGGGGAGAAAGTCCAGAGATCGTCAGCCCCTGCCCCTGGCCTCGAGACAGGGTAGGCAGAAACACCTGAAAAAGTGAAAAGCCTTGCTTTGGGGCGTAGGGAACCCAGGCTTCGACAGTGGTGGTGAGACGCAGCGGCCTCAGTCGAAGCCAAGCTACGAGTCCTGGCCCTCGCCTGCCGCCAGGAACACACTCCAGCCTCGCAGCCCCGCCACCCCCAGCCGGCGCTCCCGGCTTCCTGCCCGCCGGAGGCCCGGCTCCCGGCGCGGTGGGGGTGGCGTTTCCTGGCCCAGCCGAGTCACTTGCTCGCGGACTCTCCGACTACGCGCTGACCGACAGGCACCAGATGCTATTTCGGGCGGCGCCCTGCTAGCGCTCAGTTTCCGTTTTTCCACCCACTGTCGGAAACAGTGGTGGGGGGTGTAGACGTCACTAGCCCCCAGCCCCGGGCAGGGCTTGGGGATGAGGTCGGGTGGCTGCCAGACCAGCAGAAGCTGGAGCTTCGCGGACAGACGAACTTCTAGGTGGAAGCCGCCCTGCCCTTGGAGGCCGCCTGGGCACCACCTTCTCGTGGGCTGGACAGAAGCCTTCCCACAGGTCCCCACTCCTTTGCCACAGCCCCGGAGGCTTAGGGCAGGGCCAGGACAACAATGGGGTGAGCGCCTCAAAGGCCTCCAAACTTGAGGAATTCAAAACCAAACGGGGGGGGGGGGTTTGCTGAGTGGTAGAGAAGGTAAGGCCCTCGATTCAATTCCCAGCACTGAAAACACGCGCGCGCACGAGCGCACACACACACACACACACACACACACACACACACACACACCATAATCCTGACTTCTTGGCCTCCAGATCCAGCCACAACAGCCAGAAGCCCAAGGGTTTTTCTGGGTTCCTCCATGTCCCTACCCCCAAACCCAGTTCTTACAAACAGCGCTACTCATTCATTTGTTTAGATCTCCTGAGACAGGGTCGTGCTGTGCAGTTTAGCCTGGTCTTGAACTCACGGTGTAGCCCAAGATGGCCTACAAATCCAGCCTTGCATCCTAGTTAGGTGCCACCTCCATCCTCCTGCCTTTACTCTGACTCCCCCATCCCACACCTGCACACCCCTACTCCACACTGCAGCCAGTCTTCTAGAAGAACAAATCTGCTCCTGTATAGGATGCTATGCTCTTAAAAGCAAATAAACAAAATTGTTCCAAAAAATCCATCACTTGTCCACAAGCTTCATCCGTCCATCCACCCTGGTCCCTTTCCTGTTTCTTTCATGCTTCAGCCCTTGCCTCCTTTTCTCAGGGAAGCAGCCCTCAGCTGGATTGTTTACCTAGGTAGTTACTTTTCACATGAAAGTGACTTGCCCGAGAGTCCCACAGCTCATCACCAGCAGCCTCTTCGTCTTTCTGTTAAGTGATGTAGCCATGAAAGGACAGCGCTTTGTGAGCTGGGGTGGGAAAACTGACTTCTTTCTCAGGACTTCGGTGGCTTTTACATCTGTGAAAGGTGCCTGCATCCACATGACGGGCTGTCAGGAGGGAACACAAGAACTGAGGGCCAGGCTGCCCTGAATTCCGGTACCTTCCCAGAGACTCATCCTGATCACCTAGGAGGGACCAGAAGTACGACTGAGGCTGTAGGCTCATCCCTTATGTGGATCTCACTCGGATCAGACTAGGGGTGTCCCTCTACTCTCAGACTCTACAAGGAGCCCAGACCAGAAACACTAAAGGGAACAGCAGACTGGCACGGTGAGTAGAGTTTGGAATGGGCACTGGATGGTCCTGGCATCTCTGCTGAATCACTGTGAGTTTGGCAGCATCCCCACTCTGTCCTTAAATTAATTTCCTTCTCTACAGCGATAGCCACTCCCCCACGCAGATACATGTGGTGTTCTTCTGGACCATGCACTGGCTGAGGTTCCGTACATTATCACCCTGCATACACATCTTTTCTTAAAGGTTATTTTATTTATCTTCGAAACTGTGAGGTAGAAATTATCTGTTTTATAAATGAGGAAACTGAAGCTCAGAGCTAAGTGACTGCAGTTGGAGCCTGTGTTCTTTCTACTCCACCACTGAAGAATAAACCCATCTTCTCTCCAGGGTGGAGCCCCAGTCAGGGGAATGGGGACTGGCTTGGTCTCAGATTTCTGCCCAGCACAAATCCGGGTCCCTGAACGGCTGAGCCCAGTGCTCTCCTCCCAGCCTGGGCTCTAGTGGCTGCTGTTCAATGCTCTGGGAAGAGGGCTTCTTGGTCCTATTTCCTTCACATCCAGGCTCCAGCCACTCACTAGAAATGTAACTGTTACTTTTACACCTGGAGCCTCAGTAAATTGAGATTTTTTTTGTTATGACACCAACTTCTCAGTACTATTTTTAAAATAAAATAGCTTTTGTAGGGTGCTCTGAACAGTGCTCCAGTCGCACGATTAAAAATATCATGGGGAGGAGGGTGGAGTGGTGTTCTTGGGCTCTGGGCTCAGCCTGAAAGCAAGCAAAGGGACATTTACATCTATTGGCACCAGGTTAGCCCCCACAGCACCCTTTGGGGTTAAGATACTGGCCCTATTTTAGAGCAGAAAGGGCCCAGGATTGAAGAGTGAAAGCTCAGCAAGGAACTGGGGGTGGGTGTCCTGAGATAAGGGAAACTGCCCCTTGAAATCTGGGTGTTTGGGACACCGAAGAGAGAATGAATGAAGGGTTGGCAGGTCGTCACCTGCGTTTGGGCATCAGGGTGGTCTTCAGAGGCAGGACGGAGTGTCATGGTCAGAGTCCCGTAAGAACAGTGTCAGTAAAGCAGAGGGAGTGAGGGAAGTTGTGGGGAGCGGCGACTCCAGGGAGGCTTGGGGATGAGAAATAGGGTTGCCTGTCAGGCCCTAGACAGCGCGCAGTTCTCTACACGGCCCATTTCAGAGCCGGTCCCTGCGCCGCAGGACCAGTCTCCCCTCCCTCCGGTGAAATTGCCAAATTAAAATGAATCATTTGGCCCATAATGGCCGAGGCGCTTATCGGGGGCGGGCGGACCCGCGGCAGTGCCTTATCTCGGCGGCGCACGCGGCCCCGGTGCGCCTCGGCCCATGCTAACGAGGCCGGGACGTGAGCTGGATGAGAGCGCACGGGGCTGAGGCGGGGCGCGGGCGCGCGCGGGGGGCGGTCCGGGCTCTGCACCCCAGCAGCGGCCTCAACGAGGCCACACGCGCACCCCCCTACGGAAAAACGTGAGCATTCGTCCTTTTTCTAGAGGAGAAGCGGCCTGCCGCCTCCACCAAACCCCGCATCCATTGCTTCCTTCTCCCCGCACCCGCAGGGGCCGCCTAGCTCCGCTCCGGGCGCCTTGGATGGGGGCATTTTCCAGCGACACCTCCGCCCTCGGCGCCGCGGCCCCTCCTGCCTCGGAGACTCTCTTCCTTCCTTCCCCTTTTTCCTTACGCAATATACAGAAATGCGCGAGGCGGTGGTTGGTTTTCATTTCTTCTTGGTGGTTGTGTGCATGCGGTGGGATTGTGAGAGTGCGTGTGTGTGAGCCGTGGGCAAGGCCGACTGCTCCCGAGTGTGGTCTTTTTGGCGATCGGTTGCGTGTCCGAGTGTGATGGTGCCTGCTCTGTTTGGGTGTGTAGATTTGGACCCTTCGAGGCCCTGCTGCGTTTTATTCGATGTGTGTCATAGTGCTCGTTTCTTTTTTCAACAGGAGTCGGATTTACGCTGGGCACTGACTGTGTGTGGGTGGTTTCGTTGTTCTGTCGCCCGTGCGATCCTGACCGTGTCGGGTTGTGTGTCCGTGAGAGACTGCGCTGGCCGATTTCGTTGTGTGGTGCTGGGCAGTGCGGGTCTGCTGACCATGTCGGCGCGTGGAGCAGGGCTGGGTTGTGCTTGTGTGCGTCCCTCCTGTGGGGCTGGACCCTGTGTGGTCCCGTCCACACAGAGTTGTGTGCCTGTGTGCTTGTGTCCTTTAGAGGTGCATTTGCAAATCGCTGGGGGCGGGAGTGGGGGTGGCGAGCGAGAGATTGAGGCGCTGGTGGGGGCGTCGGCGTGGGGGCGGGGAGCGGGGTTTCACATTTTATTCCAAATTATGATGTATTCGGGAGCCGCTGTGGGCTTGGATGGGCGGTCAGAGCCCCGCCGGCCGTCGCTCTGTTTGCGGCCGGGCTGCGCCTCGGCCTTTGCGGGGTGCGCTGGAGAGCAGAGGCGCTGCAGAGCCCGCGGGTGAGCAGCGCCCGCAGCCCCGCGCCTCGCAGCCGTGAGCCGGGGTCTGCGGTCCGCGCCGCACTTCGGCTTCGCCCATTTCTGGTCAGTTTCGCCGGCGCGGCCGCGGGGGGCGGTGGGAGAGGCCGGGTAAGGACAATGGACGCATTTTCCAGGCCTTGCGCCACCAAGGGTGGAGGGCTCGAGATCACCCCGGGGACCATGTCCCACCCGCTCCTCGGGAGCCGCATCCCGCGTGGGTCAGACGCAGGTCGCAGGTCGTAAGGGTGACCGAGGCGGAGTCGGGGCTCCTTGGAGGGAAGGGGTCAACGCTCCCCTGGCTCGAGAAGAAAGGATTTTGTTTTGCCAGTTGTTCAGGTCATCATCACAGCCATCATCATTAACGTTCTCGTTTAATTAAAATAATCGTCCAAAAACGGAGCGGGAGTCACTGTAGCTTCCTAGGTGGGAGAACAAAGCCGCACAGGACTCGCCCCCTCCCGCCCCTGCTGTTTTCTCAGGCGCTGGTTTGGGATAAGGAGAGAAAATGGAGAGGGTCAGACTGAAACACCTTCAAACGCAAACACTATCCCCGGGCATGGGTGGGTTGCCTTCCTTCTTTCCTCCCCTCCCTCCATTTGGATTAGAAGAGAAAGGAAAACCTCCCGCACTGGATTGAAACCCAGGGAAAATTATTCCTATATTTCCACAAAAGCCTCGGCCAAAAGAAGGAAGCCTTCGCAATTAATCCAAGACTACGATGTACGATCATAAACTGGACGTTTTAGGCAAAAACAAATTAAAACCCACCGGAGGGGGGGAAGCAACTAAACCCAGCTACACCCTTGGAAGCAGTTTTTACCCTCTTTCCCTTGTTTATTGCTGCAACAAATTATTAGCGTTCCTCCTTATTCTGCCTGTTTAAGCCCGAAAAATCGAAAATCATTTTGTACGGGTAGTAAAGGTAAGGGATTTCTTCATTTCTTTCTCTCTTACGCTCTTTTCTGCATTTTCTTTCTTTCCTTCTTTCTTGTCAGTAGGAAGAAAAGAAAGGACCTGAATAGATTTCCTACCCACCCCCACCCCCCATTCCCGCAGAGAAGTACAATCCTTGGAATCGGGTTCTGCTTTCACTTTGGGTTGGAGGTGGGTAGATGGGGGTCCCGGAGAGGCCGGCGGGCGATTGGGGGGTGTCCGAGGTTCTGCCGCATTAACTAGGGCCTGGAGACGGCACCCACCTTTCCCGACTCATCGCCCACCCTGCACCTCAGGCTGGGGTCGACCCCTTGGCTCTGGCGCTGTGGCGGCTGCTGGGGCCTGGCTCAGGCTATGGAGCAAACAGCGTAGACACGTCCGTTTTTGGAAAACAAACGGCCGCGTTGAACCACAGGGATCCCAGTTGTAGGGTTCAAAAATGTTCTGGGCAGCTTGTAGGGAGGGGTTGTTGTTGGACTAAAGTTAATTTCTGATTGGTCAGGTGTAGTGTTCATTTTTACAGGGACGAGGTGAGGTTGAGTCTCTGAACACCTGCAGGTGGGGGCAGAAAGCAGTCTGCGACTCCCTGGGCTGTCAGTGGGGGCAAGAGGTAATTCCCAGCCATTGACCCTCATTTCTCTCTCGCCCTCCCTCTCACCCTCCCTCTTTCTCTCCACCCCCATCTTTCCTGGAAACTCGGTTTGGGCGCGGCAGATCGCCCAGGACCACACCGCAGCCTAACTGCTGGCCTCTCAGCGGCGAGAGGGGCTCGGAAAGCAGAGACCCCAGCTCAGCCTCACCGCTCCCTGTAGGAAGAGTGGAGGTCCTATTCCAAGGGGCCGGTCTCTCTAACTATGCCCGAGGTGAGTATGTGAAGGGTGATGTGGTGGGAAGGGTGTCCAGGAAGTCCTTGGGGTTCCCGGCTGGGGTGGGGGTGGGGCTGTGGACAGGGGAGAGCCCAACCTCAGACTGAGTCTAGGGGAGGAGAGGATCATCGGAAGGTTGCGAATCCCGCCTCAGACTGCCGTTAGCTGCCTATGGCCTCCAACAGGGCCCTTTCCTTTTTCCGGCCTCTGGTGAAACCAGATGGTTGGACTAGGGTAGGTCCTCCTGCCGCTCCTATGGGTCGGAATCTGTGGACGTTGCTCAAGGCCTGGAACTTTGTTGTGGCTGTATCCGGGTAGTGCAAGCTGTACTTGGAGTTCAGCAGGAAGAAGGCCGAGGTTATCCGGGCCAGCACAGAGCTCTTGCTTGGGTGGGCCTGGAGCCTGGGACCTGAGGCCTAGGGCGAGCTGCACTGGAACACCCCTCTGCGCCCTGAGTGCAGGGATAGCACCCAGATCCCTGGGGGGTTGCTTTGGTGCAATTTGGAGGCTCCCTAATGGTGTCCTGCGGTGTGTGTGTGTGTGGGGGGGTGCGGTAAGAGGGACCCAAGGCCAGCTCTAAAACAGCGGCTTAGACACTGTGTCACCTAAGAAATCCTCTGTGCTAGGGGACTGAGAACTGCTGGAGACGCTGGCTGGCCCCAGGAAGGCGCTCCCGGATCTCCTTCAGCACACACTGAAACGGTCCGGCCCACTGGCAACGGAAGTGTTGAGGGCAGCAAGCAGGGTCTCTGCTACACAGAGAGAGGAATTATAATGGTCTAAATATTCTAGTCCCACTCCATTCAGTCCTAAATCTAGCCCCTTCTCCATCCTCCAATTAAAACAAATACAGCAGATAAAAACTGCTCAGGCTTTCCTTTCAGGAAACTTAGCTGAAGTTAAGAGATGCAGTTTAGTCTCTTGACAACCACAGGTGCTTTTTAGCACTCTGATGGCTTCCTCCTGGCATGGACCTCCGGCCAGGTCCATCCTAGGCTCAGAAGAGTGAGCTGGATTTTCCTGAGGTGGGAAGGCAGAAGTCTGCCACAGTCCCCTGGAGGGCCAATCTGTATTTCTCACCAGCAGTCTTGGAGATCAGGATATTTGTAGGCATCTGGAGAGGCCATTTTGGGCCAGGATCACTTCATCTGGACTATGTGTTCCCTTTGCCCTTTGGGAACCTGCCTCTACTACCGGGGTGGAATTAATCAGAAGGTATACATGTGTCATAGTGAAGCTTCAGCCCAGCTGGGATTGCAGTGCACAGTTTGCCTTGCACTTAGAACCTAGGCTAAGGTGCCTGTGCTTGGTTGCACACTGCTGGTGGTCACAGGGCCTGGTATATTTCTGGTGCATTTCACCAGCTGAAGGGAAACTACCATTGCTGGTACACTTCCCATTCATTTCCATGGCCTGGGTGTCTTGCCTGTGGTATTCCGTGGATTCGGACCTTTAGTCTCTGCTGCAATTGTAAGCTTGTCTCTGCTATAAATGTAGGCATCATTTCCAGGCGGTGTGCGGGCTGCAGGGCCCACATCAGTGTCCAGTCTGAATCTGTGTTCTCTGCATGCTACAGTGTGTGGTGGCAATGGAGCTGAGTTCTGTAGGAGGTGAGGGAGCCTTGTCTCTCTTCTGGGGTGAAAGGCATGGCTCCAAGATGGACTCTGGTCCAGAGCATTGCAGTGGTAGAATGGGAGCCCGACGGCTGCGATGAATTGATTAGATGAACTTACCTTCAAGCTTAAAAGCACTTTTGTGAATCTCTTCCACTTCAACATACCCCAATTACTATATAGAATTCGGAGAGTAGAACCCTTATTACTAATAATTTATGAAGCCTGCTGAGTTCATTGTATCTTTATTAAAACAACTCACAAGCTTCCTCAAAGTCTGAATCCTAAGTCTCATGGTTTCTCTCTTGGGTTTTTTGGGGTCTCCATATGGATGAGGCCAGACGGTGGGTGAACCCTAGCATACTTGTGGGAGGTAGAGGGGTCATCATGGAATATGGCTGTGGGGGAAAGAGGGCTCCAGTGTATGTATGAGAATAGCACAGTTAAAGTGAGGTCAGAGTTCCATAAGCCAAAGTGTGTATGTGTGTGTGTGTGTGTGTGTGTGTGTGTGTGTGTGTTGGTGCTGTAGGAATTTAGGGGCCTTACAAGCACACCTCCTTCTGATTTTGAAAGAGAGGCCAGACCCCATGTCCTCAGAAGCACTCTGAAAGTCTGAACTCCACACTGCCTCAGCCAGGCCTTTCTTAGAGACCTGGCCTCACTTCGGAGTCTAGCCAAGGAAAATTCCGTGGAGTCAGGGTGGTAGTGCCAGGACCAGCATTTTACCTTGGCAGTCTCTCCTCTCCTGTCTGAGAAGTAAACCAGCAGCACACAGAATAAATACAAGGTGGATGTGCTTAGCACCGTTAGAGGGTAGACAGCCTTTAACGATGATGAATTTTGTGTGTACTGCGCGGGTGGAGCTGGTTCCTCTGGATTATTTTCTTCCAGCTCTGGCTGTGTGGACCCAAGTCCTGGTAGCTTGCATTCCCTACTTCCACCGCTGCCAGGTTTCTGGGTGATGTGCATAGGGTGTCTCTGCAGGGCTAGGGTTGGGGTGTTGCTGAGAGGTGAAAGGCGGTTCCATAACCACCCCACCCCTTTGTGACAGATTCCCCGCCAAAAGCAAAAGCAGGAGGGTGGGGGCGGGAAGAGCACGGTCGGGGTTGATCCCTCCTCTTCCCTTGTGGCTAAGGGGGTCTGGGTAACTTTCTTTCTCTCCTCTGCATTTCCTTCCTCCTTTTATTCCCTTCGGTTTTTCTTTCGCTGGCCCTATTCCCTTTCTTCCGATGTTTGTGCCGTCTTTCTCTATTTCTGTCCTCTTGGCGCTTAGTCCCTGTGCCCCTAGACACCCCGTCCTTTTCCCAGTCCAGAGGGACCCCCCTCTTGCTCCGGCGCGGGGGCAGCCAGCCTTCAGGCCCGGAGGGTGGAGGTGCTGTCCACGTGGCGCTGGGTTTCCTGGCCGCTTAGTCCCCTCTGCAGCGGGCCGGGGGCGGCTGTCGGAGCTGGCGTCCGCTTGTCTGTCCGTCTACCCGCAGGATGACCGAGCGGCCGCCCAGCGAGGCGGCCCGCAGTGACCCCCCGCTCGAGGCCCGGGACGCGGCCGAGGCCCGCATGGCCCCCCCGCATCTGGTCCTGCTGAACGGCGTCACCAAGGAGACGAGCCGCGCGGCCCCGGCGGAGCCCCCGGTCCTCGAGCTGGGC